CAGCTGCTGCCGCTTACGCGCGGGACCAGCAGCAGCAGCAGCAGCATGAGTTCTCTTGGGGCCTCCGGACAACAAGGGCGGCAGCGAATCGCTGGAAGCGCTGGCTGCTTCCAACTCCTGCTGCTGTTGTTGTTGCTGCTGCTGCTGTTGTTGTGATTGCTGCTGTTGCTCCGTAGCGGCTAAAACTGCCTCCGATTCTGCGGGGGGCTCATTAGCGGCTTCGCCGTTGATGCAGTTGCTGCTGCCGTCGCTGCTGCTACTGCTGCTGCTGCTGCTGCTTGAGGGCTTCCGGGTTTGTTCGCACTCTTGGAGCTTCGAAGCAGCAGCAGCAGCAGAGCACGCCGGTGCTGCTGTTGCAGAAACGGAAAAGCTATCTGGAGCATTCTCGCACGGATGTACGCCAGCAGCAGCAACAGCAGCAGCAGTAACAGCAGCAGCAGCTGCGTCTTGAGCAGCAGCAGCAGGAACGGAGTGCACCGGGGAACCTACAGCTGCTGCGTCTACAAGTGTTGCTGCTGGTCCTCCTCGAGCAGATGCAGGTCCGGCTGCTGCTGCTGCTGCTGCTGTGGTCGCAGCAGCAGCAGGTGTTGCTGCAGGTTTAGCAGCAATAGGAATTGCTGCTAAACCTGCAGCAGGGGCCACTGCAGGTTTAGCAGCAGCAGTATGAGGTGCTGCGGGTGCACCAGCAGCAACAGAAGGCACTGCTGCTGGTGCAGCAGCAGCAGCAACAGAAGGCATTGCTGCTGGTGCAGCAGCAGCAGCAGCAACAGAAGGCAGTGCTGCTGGTGCAGCAGCAGCACCAGCAACAGAGTGTACTGCTGCTGATGCAGGAGCATCCGCAACAGGAGGTACTGCTGCTGATGCAGCAGCAGCATCCGCAACAGGAGGCACTGCGGCTGATGCAGCAGCAGCATCAGTAACAGCAGGCACTACTGGTGATGCAGCAGCAGCAGCAACAGAAGGCACTGCTTCTGGAGCAGCAACAGCAGCAACAGGAGGCATTGCTGCTGGTGCAGCAGCAGCACCACCAGAAACCGCTGGAGGTGTAGTGGAGGTAGAAGCCACCTGTTCAGCAGCAACAGCAGCAACAGCAGGAAAAGCAAGA